ATCCCAGCACTTTGGGAGGGCAAGACAGGTGGACCACTTGAGCCCAGGAGTTCAAGACCAGCCACATAATGAGACCCTAACTCTACAAAAAAAAAAAAAAGAAGAAGAATCTAGGGCTTTCCAGTGGTTCCATGCCTCAGTCTTTGTCCCTCAACTGCTGCAACTGCAGTTGAGGGATAAAGATAGCAACATCTTTTATCTTACACCCTGTCCCCTTCGCCTTTCACCAGACCCCCTCCTCCAATGGCTGGGGCCAACTGGTCTCTTCCATATCACTTCACCCCACCTACCCCGACTACAGCCTCCCCTTCCCTCTGCCAAGACAGCAGCCTCAGTGATATAACAAAACCTTTATTCTCATAAAACAGGAAAAACAAAATTAAAAAACGAAACCAATAATTTCTATCTGGCCCTTGCCCCAGCCCTCCCACCCACCCACATATCCTCCTTTTGGGGGAACCATGATGCATGCACAGGGGTGGGAGCTGAAGGAAACTGTGTTCCTTGGGCAGAAAAAAGTCCTTGGGTCTAGGTGCTCTCCTCCAAGTTGATATCCCTCCCAGCCTTGCCCACCCTTCCTCCAGACACACCAAGAAGGAAGAATTCTGGAGCAGTGCCAGAAGGACTGCCCTGAAGCTTCTTGGGGAATAGGCAGCTGAGTCAGCACCACCTCCATGGTTTTCACCAGTTACAGCTCATCTTCATCCAGCTTGGCAAGTCTGGCTTGGCACGGAGGGGTGTTTGGAGTTGAAGAGACTGGAGGAGAGTCATGGGGAGCCTGAGGGATGTCACTGAGGGCCTGAAGAAAAGATTCAAGTCAGAGGATTAAAAAGGCCAGAAATCTACCCTCACTTCTCTCTTTTCAGTTTAAGTCCCTAGCCAAGCCACCTCCTCTTGCCAGATATCTTAGACTGTCTGAGACTATCAGCTTCTCCAGAGTTAAAATAGAGGGGAGAAGGGTAAGGGATGGGAAGTAGGAAGGACCAGATAAAAGGAATGATATGGGGAGCGAGCTTGGAGTCCCAAAACAAGAGAGGCTCTCCCCTTTTTATGCCTACAATGAGGGAGCTCTCTTCATCATACCTGTTTATCCAGGGGCAAGGGGGCTCTGGCCACCTCCCCTTTGGGTGACAGCAGCAGGGAGGGGAGAGAGCCATTGATGGGTGTTTGAGTGCTGCCCTGGGCCTGATCTCCAAGCCGAATTCTCCCAGGGCTCCCCACTCCAGGCCCTCCTGGCCGCCCCAGGCTGTTGGTCTGGCTCTCCCGTCTCTGGTACTCAATGGGTGACTGCAATGCTGGAGCAAAGAGAGGAACAGGAGGGTTACTGCAGAGACAGGTCTCTTCCCTAGGGCCTGTATCATTCTCCTACTTTGCCCTCCCTCCCTGTCAGCCAATGTAAATTGCTTGGGGTTTTAGGGGATTCTATCAAATTTTGAGCTAGCAGTAGAAAAGGGGATGGGCCATGGTCAGAGGGTAGGTACTGGAGACTGGGCAGTGAGGGAGGGATTCAGGAGGTCAAGGGGCTGACAGAGCCCATCAGGGAGAAAGGATGAAAGCTTCACCGTTGAGGAAGTCCCGTTGGCTTTCCAAGATCTGAGCCACATGCTTGATCCAGGCCTGACTGATAGCAGGGTCTGCAGCCTGCAGGACATAGCGCTGGATCCCACCCTCTGGCCCTCTGGAGGTCAGTGCAAAGCGGCAAGGGTCACCTTGGAGGTTCCCCTCCAGTCCCAGGCAGCTCACCTGAATTGGCAGATAGGAGACAGCCCCCAGATTCCTCAGACCCTCTCTGGCTCCCCTGAGACATCCTCTCAGAGGCCTCATGCCTTCTCTGTCCAAGCCCTCTCTCATGGCCCCCTTCTCACCTTAATGCTGCTCTTGTATACATATCCAGGCTGTGTTCCACCTCTCACTCCTCCTCCCAGGGCTTCACTGAAGATGATGATTTGCTCAAAGAGGAACACGCGCCTCTCTCGACCTCGAGAAGACAGCAGCCCCCCAGCCTCAGGCTCGATGACCCAGAAAGTGTCCTGGCCCAAGAGCTTCCCCTGAGCAGTCAGTTTGCCCTGAAATGAAAGGGATAGTGGCCTTGGAAAAAGAACAAGAAAAAGGGCAATTCTTTGCTCCTCCCTTCCTCGCCTGACATGCTCAACCAACCAACCAACCATGGGGTCAGCCCCAGGAGAAGACAACTCCCCATAAGGACTTCCAGAGTGCTAGCGCTGGGGCAGAAGAGCATCGGGCCTCCAGTTTCTTGCCCTATCTCCGTACCTCAAATCCCCGCAATCTCCCCAGCGTCATCATATCGTTGCAGCGCTTGGGCACAAAGCACATGACCTCCACAGCTTGCTGGGACACAGGTGAGGGAGGCACATTGTTGGGCGAAGAGAGTCATTATTGGGAAAGAGACCTCCTCAGCCAGTTGCCTCTTCAGACGGTGTCTCAACCCCAAACAGCCTCCCCCTAAAAACCAGACAGCTGTAAACCACCCAAGGGGCTGGGGGAACCCATGATAGACTAGGAGGATAAGGAGCACATGGTGTGTCCTGGAAGATCTGGGGGTCCTCACCTCTAGCTCCGCAGTATCCATCCCAGCTCTATTGTAATACTTGAGAAAATCCTAAGACAGAGAGAAGAAATGCTCAGGGAGGTCGTGAGGATACCCTTAGAAGCTCTCACATCCTCCCCTGAGGACACCAGTGAGGGCCCTCAGGAAGTCTGGGGAAGCCTTAAGAACCCTGGGGTGATGAATGATGAAACGCCTGTGCCAGCCAGCTGTGCCCCCAGGAAAAAGGGGGTCCTGACCTTGAGCAGCAGCTGGTATTTCATGATCCGCTGCACAGGTTTGATGAGGAGGTCGTTCAGCTGCAGGCGGTGCCCCAGCTGCTGCCGGAGCTCCTGGGGACAGGGACAGGGTGGTTATGCAGCCTGGAAAGTCCCAGTTCTGTCCTCCTTCCCACCAAGACATCTTAGCCACTGACCTCAAAGTAGCTGTCCCCAAACTCTGACACCACATGCTCTGACTTGGGCTTATTCTGACAGTACACCACATACATATGCAGCCGGCGCTCCTAACAGGGGTAATGTTTAAGAGAGAGTAGGGTGGGCAAGGAGGGAGGACACATCTCCAGAGAATCCCAGCCCATTCCTAGGCCCCGCCCCGGCCCCGCCCCCTCAAGCCTCACGTGTTTGATGAATAGCTGAGCCAGCCAATCAGGATCTTTCAAACACCGCTGTAGCTCTTGCAAGAAATAGCTGGAGGGGTTGGTAGAGAAGGGCAGGTCAAATACATTTCAGAACCCCCACCTCGCCCACTCCCTGCAATTTCGAGCTGTCTGCCTGGTAGTGTGCCCTACAAAACTTCTCCAGACATTCCTTAAGTCGCAGTGGGCTGATATTGGGATACAGGGACAACCAGATGAGGGCCCCTCCCCAGCAACTAGCTGTCAGGGTTCCACCACTCACTCTCGGTGCCACTCATAGATTTGCTGGATGTTCCCAAACACAATCCTGTCACGGCCTCGAAGACTTTCGGGGACCCCCTGAGCAGCCATGGTGGCCATGTAACCCTGTGGGAAAGTTGAGATTGGGTCATGAGCAGGTGGTGGCCCCCTCCCCACCTTAATGGTGCTCCTGTACACATATCCAGGGTGTGTTCCACCTCCCCCTCCCTGGTGGGAGCCGCCCTGCCCCCAGAGTAGGAAGGTCCAGGAGTGGGGAGACTTGAGAGGTGAGACAGAGGAGCACCCAGGCACCTCCTGAAAATAGCCCTGGGCAGATGGAAAGGCAGGCAGAAGGGGCTGGGAAGGGGTAAAGGGAGCTACCTCCACAATCTGCCCCAAGTCATCCACGTACATTTTCTCTGTTTCTACCAGTTCACTCAGGACGTACCTAGGATGAAAGCAGGAGGAGGCCCCCACTTCAGTGTCGGAGCTCATCCTTGGTTCAACCCGTTCCTCCCTCCTCCTCTTCATCATCATAGCCAACCTTGGAGGAAATTCCATCTAAAATGTGAGGGACAGTCTTCTGGAAATTGTGCAACTGCAGGGAAGGGCTGTGGACACTTACATACTCCTTTCCAGAGCCTTCTTCTTCTGTTCCGCCTCACTCTCAGGGGCTTGGGACAAAGCCTCCTCTTCAGGTGGCTGGAAGGAAAGAACATCCTAGGGTGAGCAAATGAATGCCCCTTGAGTGAAAGGAGCCTCCCCAGAGCCTGTCCTCACACCTGCGTCTTATCTCCAGGGCCGTCCAACAATGTGGTCAGCAAGGTCAGTTCCGGCAGCTCCTCTCCTGTGGCTAGAGCTGGCTCCAACATCCAGTTCTGGGGGCCAGAAATCAAGTGTCAGAGGTCAGGGACAGTAGCTGGGTGGCCCCAACCTGCCCTCTCTGCCAGTGTCCTTCATAGATGTCCCCACATGCTTTGGTGCCATTCCCTGCTCACCTCATATGGTCCCGCCTGACGACTGTCTGCCTCAGTTTCCACACTGAGACAATGTTTGGAATGATCCAACCATCTCCTCAGGCCACTGACGGGCCCTGGGGGGCCTGGGGAACAGGGGCCAGAGCTGAGGCCAGAGCTGGGGCCAGAGGGGGCAGCCAGACCGGAGGCAGCAGAAGCTGATATACTCCCCTCACTGCCAGCAATGGAATAGGATTCTAATGGGAGGAAAAAGAGAGGAGGTGATAGACCTTGCCCCAGCTCCAGACTCAGGGTCCCCAGGGAACTCCCAGGGTCTTCTCTCCATGATGCTCAGCCTCTCTCTCCAAGGGCTCACTCTCTTGCCATCCTCATTTGAGTTGCCCCCAGGATAGAAAATTTCACCAGGGCACCCCTGGGAGAAAGCACAGTAAGGTAAACACCTGGCTCTCCAGACCTGGAACCCCCAGTTACATGTGGAGGTTCCCCATATCCTGAGCATAGCATAGATATGGGGGTGGGGGCAGCCATCTGGGCAGACACTGGAAGCTGGGGGTGGCCATCTGCTCTCCTACAACCCTCCCCCTTTCAATGGGTACAGACCATTCTCTGGGAAGGGGGGAGGATGAGCTGGGTCCATCTGCCACTCCCAGTCCCCTCCTCCACCAATTGCAGTAATCACTATAAAAAGAAAAGACTTCTGCAGCCCACCTCCCCAACACATGCGTAGACCCAATAGAGGAGGCCAGTGAGGAGGGTCCATCAGGGTTATCTATGGCCTGGGCTCAGGGACGGAAGAGCTGTGATTCCTTATAAAGCCCCTTGTAGAACCACCTCATTCTCATTC